CCCAGTGGCACAAGGTTCAGCATCACAGCAACCCCAGGTTACCTCAGTACAGCATATTGACAGAAGAGTGCTGTACCACTTGGACGAATGTTCCTCCAAAATAGAATAACAACCAACTTTAAATACAAAGGCCCTCCTCAAGATCTTGTTGACAAGAGGCTTAAACAAACCGAACAACCCCCACCCCCAAACCCAACCAATATAGTTTGTTGTTATTTGCCGTTAAGTCGCCTGCAATGTATAGTGACCCTATGTACAGCAGCTCCAAATCCTTCCCTGTCCTGAGACAGTCTCAATAATTCTGACACACCAACTCCCATTTTCCCCGACACTGTATCAATCCATCTCATTTGGGTCTTTCTTCCTCTCCTGTGCTGTCCCTCCATCTTTCTGAGCATGATGTCCTTCTTCAAGGACCTGTCTCTCCTGGTCATGTGTCCAAAGTATGTGAGGTGGAGAGTCAAAGCCTGAGCCTCCAAGGAAAGACTTGGTTTCACCCTCTCCAAGACAGACTTGTTTATTTTCTTGGCAGTCTGTGGTATGTCAAGACTCTTCTCCAGCACAACTCAAAGGCATCTATTCTTCTTCTGCCATCCTTTGTCATTGTCTAGCTCTCTGAAGCATGGCATGTAATTGAGACGACCATGGCATGGATTAGGCACACCTTTGTCTCTAGACTGACAATGTTGCTCTTCAGCACTCTGGAGAGGCTCGTGACAGCAGATTTTCCCAATGCAATTCGTCTTTTGACTTCCTGACTGCTGATGTTAAGAGTGTGGATTGTGGATCTGAGCAAGCGCTAATTGTTAACAGCCTCAATCTCTTCTCCATCTATTATGGTGTTGCCAATTGGCCTAGTGGTGAGAATCTTTGTCTTCTTGATGTTGAGCTTCAATCCATATTGAAGACTATAGTCCTCGAACTTTTGCAGCAAGTGCTAGCCAAGCCTATAGTAGGTTTTCAGAGGCAATAAATTGCATGGGAGGAGACTGACTGTTCATCATTCTCCCACAGAGCTCACAGTGGATTTGAAGCACGTTCCTTTAGGACTTCAGTGTAGTTTCTTACCACTAGGTCACCATTTCAGTATGAAGAGTCAGAAACAGAGAGGTAGATAAAGTCAGAGGCATGAGATGGACACGGAGAAGACACTCAAAGTAGATTAGATACAGTTCAAAATGACCAAACACACCTGGGACCACATACCCCGCGCCTGAGGGTATCTGTTTACTCATTCAAAAACTTTTATAGTTTTCCTCAATTCATCCATTGAAAATAGAGTCAAGTCTGAGAACACAAACAAGGTAAATTCGCATCAGTTGGTTAAAGAGGGAAATGCCTGTTTTATGAGTAATAGCGTCTTTTGTTAAATTATGCATCATCTTTTGTTAAATTATGTTAGCTATTATTTGCACCTCATCTCAAATAGGTTCCAATCATTTCCAGAAAGGATAGAAACTCAAGCAAACTCTCCTAAGCAAACTAACTACAACTTTCATGCTGCTGTTTTGTACCATCAAGTTGGAAATGACTCACAGCTGACCCTCAGGCAGGTTTTCAGAGACATTTAATCACATGGGAAGAAACTGTCCATCCTAGTCCCATAGAGCAGCTGGTGGTCTTGAAAAGCATGCCTTCAGGATTGTAGCACAGCTTCTTGCCACTAGACCACCAGAGCTCCCTGAAACTTTCATGTTGACTATAAATGATGAAACTATGTACTAAAACATTATTTAAAAGATAAAGCCAGCAGAAAGAGCACATAATATTTTTGTCTACCTACATTTTCAGAAAATTCTAGACATCAGTATTTATACTTAGAAGCCACTGCACTGTAATAAATGTCTGAAAATCAGATTATGAACAGGTCAACACCACATAACTCAGAGATGTACTGTTTAGCAGTCATGAAGGTAGAGGAACTTGAGAATCTTATGGCAAATGATTTGATTAAAAGCAAAGAGAACATCATGATTTGTATACTCATTAAACACAGTTCCAGGAAAAGACTGGAAAAGGAAAACAAGCAAATTAGAAGACTTGTTTGAAGCGGTAGCTCCACTGAGCAATAGTGCCGTACTAGTACAACAATCAAGGACAGAGGCCAAGAACTCTGAGAAGTTCCCAAACATGCAAGGTTTCCAGGAACCTGGGACACGTCAAGATCTCAAGGTGCTTACAAATAGGAAATTTTCAATGCAAAAGTATGTTATTAGAAATGCAACCCTATTTAAATCCTTGTACCTTCAAGATTATTTATAATCTGGTCCTAGCTATGTGTCAGAGTTTTAGGTTGGTTTTCTGTTTTAATCTTTTGTAGTCTCATTAGAGATGGGCTTGATAAATCGTTATGGGTAACACCTGCATTTGTTAATAAGTCACCTGGTCTTTTCAAAGATATCTTTTAAGGCACTGGTATTTCACTGACTACTGTTAAAAAAAATAGTAGCAAATTCAGAACAGACAAGTTAATTATGAGGATTTTTCTCGGGTAAAGCACAAACTCTTTCCTCAGTCGCGCCCTCAATAACCTGGCACACACACACAGTTTCTTTGTCCTATGACAAAACACTCGTTACTGGCTGTGACTTTTTTGTCTTCAGTCAATGTAAAATGTTTTGATTGAGCAGCCCTTTTGTAGTATTTATTACATAATCCTCACTTAGCTTTTCTCAGAAGAAAAGCTCTGTATTCATTTCACCATCTGTTTGCCAGAAAGG